TGTCTGTCTGTCTGTCCTCTGTCTGTCCTCTGTCTGTCTGTCTGTCTGTCTGTCTGTCTATCCTCTGTCTGTCTGTCTGTCTGTCTGTCTGTCTATCCTCTGTCTGTCCTCTGTCTGTCTGTCTGTCTGTCTGTCTGTCTGTCTGTCTGTCCTCTGTCTGTCTGTCTGTCTGTCTGTCTATCCTCTGTCTGTCTGTCTGTCTGTCTATCCTCTGTCTGTCTGTCTGTCTGTCTGTCTGTCCTCTGTCTATCCTCTGTCTGTCTGTCTGTCCTCTGTCTGTCTGTCTGTCTGTCTATCCTCTGTCTATCCTCTGTCTGTCTGTCTGTCTGTCTGTCTGTCTGTCTGTCCTCTGTCTGTCCTCTGTCTGTCTGTCTGTCTGTCTGTCTGTCTATCCTCTGTCTGTCTGTCTGTCTGTCTGTCTGTCCTCTCGTCTGCTGATAACATTAAGTAGAATTTATATTTGGGTAGTAAAACCAGCATTTTTAAAATATCCAAGCACCCTGTATCATAGCTACATGTGTGACGTTTTTAACTAATCAGTACGTTTGGAAATCGGTCCAAAATTCAGCGAATAATTCTACTTTGAGATTGAAGAGTTCCTCTTTCCTTCGTAGGTTGATGCACTGTTCCAAGATGGCCGCCCTGTAGGCACGCCGCTCCACAGTCTGTGTATATTATGGTGCGTTCGTTTTGTCTCGTAATCGCGACTTGCAACTCGAGAGCGACGTCACATCCGTGTTGGAGAACGAGTAACCACGGTCTTTGCGTTCTGTCTGTTTGTTTGGTAACGTTGATAGTGATTATTCACACGTTCATTATTACACAATCATATCTCACAGTTTGATATCTGAATACTCCGTTCTCATTAACGTTACCGTTACCGTGGTTACTGCTCTGCTTTCTGCTCAAGACTCGGCACTGTTGTCATAGCAACATGGAGCGTCTCGAGCCACTTTCAGCTGCACGAGCTACAAAGTAACTAATGAGGCTCATTAACTCACAATGAGACTGTAGCAACAGTGTACAGTGCTGTGGGTACGACTTCTTCTGTGGTTACAACAAAGACAAACACAATGTTTACTGAGTGACGCTCGGAGTGGCCATCTCCTCTGAGCTCAGACGACTTCAGGAGTCGTTGATAACGTTACGACCTCGGGGGCGTTCTGTTTGCAACTTCCTGTTCGTAACTCAGGAAACCGACTCGGAGATCGAGTTGGGTGGACAAAACGAACGCACCATAAGTCTATGGACAGTATGACAGGAGACGTGAGGTCAAAGGTTAAAGGTTAAAGGTTAAAGGCAGATTCATTTAAACTTTAAAGATTCACTTTGAACCAACGTGTCTGTGAGCAGCTACAACCCCCCTCCCCCTCCTGATCTGACCCCCTGCTTGTCCACCAGAAGTGGCCTCTGACAGGAGCAGCTGGTCCCCCCCCCCCCCCACACACACACCTCAACCCCCCCCCCCACACACACACACACCTCAACCCCCCCAACTCACCAGATTGATGAAATTTTCATAATCAGATCCCCAAAGTCCAAAGTTCACCTTCAACATAATTAATGAGCAGCTCCACACAGAGAGCTATCTTTATTGATCCTATTGATCAGAATACACTGTATCTTTATGGATGATATTGATCAGTATACACTGTATCTTTATGGATGTTATTGATCAGTATACACTGTATCTTTATGGATGATATTGATCAGTATACACTGTATCTTTATGGATGATATTGATCAGTATACACTGTATCTTTATGGATGATATTGATCAGTATACACTGTATCTTTATTGATCCTATTGATCAGTATACACTGTATCTTTATGGATGATATTGATCAGTATACACTGTATCTTTATGGATGTTATTGATCAGTATACACTGTATCTTTATGGATGATATTGATCAGTATACACTGTATCTTTATGGATGATATTGATCAGTATACACTGTATCTTTATTGATCCTATTGATCAGTATACACTGTATCTTTATGGATGATATTGATCAGTATACACTGTATCTTTATGGATGTTATTGATCAGTATACACTGTATCTTTATGGATGATATTGATCAGTATACACTGTATCTTTATGGATGTTATTGATCAGTATACACTGTATCTTTATGGATGATATTGATCAGTATACACTGTATCTTTATGGATGATATTGATCAGTATACACTGTATCTTTATGGATGATATTGATCAGTATACACTGATCTTTAGGTGAGAAGCAGAAGCAGCTGGACTCATCATAAACATCCATTGTACATGTACATTGTATGAATAAATGTCTCCATGCCGTCCCCCACAGGTTCCTGAAGAGCCGCCGTGAAGCTCAGTGTGGTCGGCTCTGGCTGTCGCCATCCCGGCAGTCCTGACTCCGCCGGCTCCCGGCTAATATAAAACAAAGGATGGAACGGAGGCTGAATGAAGCCTGGTTACTGAAAACAGCGGCCTGTGATGGCGCCCACATGTCACTCAGTAGCCACGCCCTTAATTATGTATAACTTTAAGTCTTAATATGATGTAAAGTGAGTTGAATTTAAAGGCTGTAAACTGTTTATTTCTACAGTTTAATATGGAGCCTGACTCACTGCTGGAGCCTCCGGGGGCCGTTAGATGAACTGCAGCTTCATTTGCAGCCACTGAGGTTGTTTCTTGTGTTTGTGCCAGCCTGGCTAACTTTGTGATTCTCCCCCAACCAGTTACTGATCCTGTTGTGAGGTCCAGGTTTAGTTTTGTCTCCATAAATCATAAAAGTCCCTCCACACTCAGACTCCTACATAAGATCTCTGCTGTTCACAGTGAAAGAGAAAGCTCTCTCACACTGGAGTCGTCTAATTGTTGCAGCGGTCTGCAGGGAAGAGTTATAAACAGCAGACGATCCCTCCATCATCCTGTGGCCTACACTACACTGAAGATTACAGTCACAGAACAAAAGATGTAATCAGATTACAGATACAAGTTTAAAATACATCATGTCTTCTCTAAAAATACTCGTAAAGGTTTATAGGTCTATTATACACTCAGATCAATACTTCTTATTGATAGTTTTAAGGTAATCCAAAAGTAACAGAAAGTAATACATTAATATTGATACTACATTTTGTAACAGTAACTGTATCAGATTACATTTACAAGTTTAAACAACCGAATGAAAGCAACCAATCAGAGCCGAGGAAGGGCAGAGTAAAGATAAAAACACTGTATGATGAAACTGCCACTGCAGCGGAGCCTGTAGACCTGAACCACTAATAAATATATCATTTAAAAACAACACGTGTACAAACGTCTCCTCCTGTGTGTTTAATAAAAGGTTGGTTAATATATATATATATATATATATATATATATATATATATATATATGGAGGTCATTCAACTGCATTATTATTATTATATATATATATATAATATAACAACAGGCAGTAGATGAGTTGTGCTGTCAGTGAGGTGTTAGTGAAGTGTTAATGAGTGTGTTTACAGCTCCAAACTCTCTTTTTACCTCCTTCACAAAACAGATTCTCTTTATCTCTAAATACCAGATGATCGGCCTGAACAGGAAATAATCTGCTCAAACGTCACTGAGTTCACTGTTTGGATTTATTATACAGTTTGAATATAAGATCAAATATTTATAAAATATGTCACTGAGTCAGTTTAATAGTGATAGGAAGAAAACACAACGATTCTCATTTATTATGATTATACACTAATAAAAACATACCTATTATTATTATATTACAGTAATGTCACACACTGGAGCTTTAACTGTGTATTATTGATGAATTCACCAGGGTTCACATACTCTCACACACTGTACAAAGAAACATGAAAGAAAGAAGCTAATTAATAGTTTAAAACACGTTTTAAAAGTTGGTATGAACTATTTAAACATGTTAAAATGATTGTGATAATATATCCTTGACTTCCTGACTGTGATTTGTTCACTGTCAGCAGATGATTGTGGAATCAAACACATCATTCAGACTGTAGGAACAGTGAGCTCTGACTCTGAGCAGCTGCAGGTTAACAACCACATTAACGCCGAGGTTCAGTTCCTTCACCGTGGACCAACTGCCACCTAGTGTCACAACTGGGACTCTTCTGGGACGCACTGGTGGTTGAATACAAACACTGGTGATCCAGTTCAGCAGATTGAAGCTGAGCTCAGACGATATATTCAGATCTTAAATGAGCTGACAGCTCTGAGCTGTTTGAGGATGTTTGAGGGGAAATCTGCCTATATTACAATCCGGGGCCGGAGGAGGGTAAAAGGGGCCTCTGTGCTCGTCTGACAGTTGTTGCGTGGAGGTGGGCACGGCCTGCTGAACAAAGGTCGGCAGGCATCATAGATTTCAACGACAGGCTGACTCGCTGACAGACGCACATTTCGCTCCGCTGCCGTTGCCTAAAGAGACTGGTGGGGGGGGTCAAAGGTTATGACTAGAAGACGCAGCGGTGATGGGAGACTGTCACGGCCCAGCGAGCCTGACATGTAGAGTGAACTCATTCTGTCCAGCCGGCACGCTCATCTCAGGCTGCTAAATTAGATCCATTGCCAATTCATGAAAGTCAGACGTCTGACAGCACGCCTGTCAAACTCACCCGGGACCGACCAGTGAGCCATCGCACACCACCACGCTGCTCATAAATAGGCCTACATGTAAAGTCAGGTCAGACTATGAGTCCTCGACATTGGCCTGATGTCTATTCAGAAACATTGTCATGGGTAAAAGATGAAAGAAAGCATCTGAAACAGAGCTGATGGATGTACACAGGAGACATATAACGGAGCGCTGCAGTGGAAACGTATGAAAATGCAGAAACAAATGAAAAAACAACAGTTTTTATGGATATATATGTTTGTATTATTGATAAATAATGATAAATAATCTGTGGAGTGAATATCAAGCATTTAAAACCGCCTACAGTGGCAATTTGGCTTTATTTCCCAGGAAAAACTCCGTTTCCCACAATTCTCCTCACATGGCGCATGCGTAGTTGCATCATAACGACATGACGAGCTGTTGTGTTTTCAGTAGCAACCGTTACTCTGGACTGAATAAAGTCGCTATAAAAGGTAAGAAATGTTTAAAAAGTACGCACGGAAAATAGTTTTTGTCAAATAAAAAGACACAGCTGTCTCCGCTGTAATATTATTATATTAATTATCATAACTAATGAAATAAAGAGCTAATGCTAGCCCGTTAGCCTCAAGAGAGGAGCTAACGCTAGCTAACGGAGCTAGTTTGAGATGATTTAGTAACAACACACTTTTTTTTTTTAACAGACAGAATTTTCTAACTGTTGATACATTTACCTTCGTCCACATATGTGAATTATTTTATTTATTTATTGTAATTCGTAAATCAGTGTACAGGATGTGACGCCAGACTGCGTTTAAAATCTGGCAGCTTTTGTTGCTCACCGGCTAAAGTACTGATCCATATTCATACAGACATCGGTTCAAAACACACAAACTCCTCAGAGGTCTAACCTCAGCTCGGCCTGGATCTTACACAGAAAGAAGCTCGTATTTCAGTCATATTTCACATTTTAGAGCCAGCTCGCCTCTTATTGCTTCACACCGAATCACAGCAGTGGCAGCGGCAAAGTGCGCAATAGAATATGAGATAATATTAAAATGAAATGTTCTCGGTGTGTCACATGGACGCCGAATACATCAGAAGACACAAGCTGTCAGTAAGAAGACTTAAGTCTGGTCTGGCTGTGTATTGTTCTATCTCCATACGGACATTAGTTTTCATTCAATAGATTTGCAAATGGAGTTCGGTGTATTTTTGTCTCCCAACACAATATAAGGGTTTATATCATTTAGGGCAATATACTGACCGTGAATATAAAGTTTGAAATGTAATGAATTTCATTTTCAGATTAAAACATGTCCACAATGTTTGATGAGACAGCAGCAGATGTACCAGTCAGAGACTTCACAGTAAACCTGTCCCGACTGACAGCAGGTCCCCAAGGTCTGTCCCACTGGTGTCCTCTCCGCATACAGAACTACTATATACCAATATATACTACTGTCTACTACTATATACTACTATATACTACTGTCTACTACTGTCTACTACTGTCTACTACTATATACTACTATATACTACTGTCTACTACTGTCTACTACTATATACTACTATATACTACTGTCTACTACTGTCTACTACTGTCTACTACTATATACTACTATATACTACTGTCTACTACTGTCTACTACTGTCTACTACTATATACTACTATCTACTACTATATACTACTATATATACACTGTCTACTACTATATACTACTATATACTACTATATACTACTATATACTACTGTCTACTACTGTCTACTACTGTCTACTACTATATACTACTATATACTACTATCTACTACTGTATACTACTATATACTACTATATACTACTATCTACTACTGTATACTACTGTATACTACTATATACTACTATATACTACTATATACTACTATCTACTACTGTCTACTACTATCTACTACTGTATACTACTATCTACTACTGTCTACTACTGTATACTACTATATACTACTGTCTACTACTATATACTACTATATACTACTGTATACTACTGTATACTACTATATACTACTATCTACTACTGTATACTACTGTATACTACTGTATACTACTATATACTACTATATACTACTATATACTACTATCTACTACTATCTACTACTGTCTACTACTGTCTACTACTATATACTACTATATACTACTATATACTACTATCTACTACTGTATACTACTATATACTACTATATACTACTATCTACTACTGTATACTACTATATACTACTATCTACTACTGTCTACTACTGTCTACTACTATATACTACTGTCTACTACTGTCTACTACTATATACTACTGTCTACTACTGTCTACTACTATATACTACTGTCTACTACTGTCTACTACTATATACTACTGTCTACTACTGTCTACTACTATATACTACTGTCTACTACTATATACTACTATATACTACTATCTACTACTGTCTACTACTGTCTACTACTATATACTACTATATACTACTATCTACTACTATCTACTACTATCTACTACTGTCTACTACTGTCTACTACTGTCTACTACTATATACTACTATATACTACTATATACTACTATCTACTACTGTCTACTACTGTCTACTACTATATACTACTATATACTACTATCTACTACTGTATACTACTATATACTACTATCTACTACTGTATACTACTATATACTACTGTCTACTACTATATACTACTATATACTACTATCTACTACTGTCTACTACTGTCTACTACTGTCTACTACTATATACTACTATATACTACTGTCTACTACTGTCTACTACTGTCTACTACTGTCTACTACTATATACTACTATATACTACTATATACTACTGTCTACTACTGTCTACTACTATATACTACTATATACTAATACTACTGTCTACTACGGTCTACTACTATATACTACTATATACTACTATATACTACTGTCTACTACTATATACTACTATATACTACTATATACTACTATCTACTACTGTATACTACTATCTACTACTATATACTACTGTCTACTACTATATACTACTATATACTACTATATACTATTATCTACTACTATATACTACTATATACTACTGTCTACTACTATATACTACTGTCTACTACTATCTACTACTATATACTACTGTCTACTACTATATACTACTGTATACTACTATATACTACTATATACTACTATATACTACTATCTACTACTATCTACTACTATATACTACTATATACTACTATATACTACTGTCTACTACTGTCTACTACTGTCTACTACTATATACTACTATATACTACTATATACTACTGTCTACTACTATCTACTACTATCTACTACTATATACTACTATATACTACTGTCTACTACTGTCTACTACTATATACTACTGTATACTACTATATACTACTATATACTACTATATACTATTATCTACTACTATATACTACTATATACTACTGTCTACTACTATCTACTACTATATACTACTATATACTACTGTCTACTACTATATACTACTGTCTACTACTATCTACTACTGTCTACTACTGTATACTACTATATACTACTATATACTACTATATACTACTATCTACTACTATCTACTACTATATACTACTATATACTACTGTCTACTACTATCTACTACTATATACTACTATATACTACTATATACTACTGTCTACTACTGTCTACTACTGTCTACTACTATATACTACTGTATACTACTATATACTACTGTCTACTACTATCTACTACTATCTACTACTATATACTAGTATATACTACTGTCTACTACTGTCTACTACTATATACTACTGTCTACTACTATCTACTACTATATACTACTATATACTACTATATACTACTGTCTACTACTGTCTACTACTGTCTACTACTATATACTACTGTCTACTACTATCTACTACTATATACTACTATATACTACTGTATACTACTATATACTACTATATACTACTGTCTACTACTATATACTACTATATACTACTGTCTACTACTATATACTACTATATACTACTATATACTACTGTATACTACTGTATACTACTATATACTACTATCTACTACTGTCTACTACTGTCTACTACATCTGCTCTGTCTTAATGCCTTGTTAGCACTATTGTTTATAAAATGCTTCCAAATCCCTGATGTTAAACAAAAGTTTGTTTTTGTGGTGAAAGACTCATCGGTGTATCAAAATGCTCGGGCGCGACAGGACATCTCGCGGGTGTCCAGGGAGGAGCTGGAGGACCGGTTCCTGCGCCTCCATGAGGAGACCCTGCACCTCAAACAGCACATTCACAAACAAGACGACAAGATCAAGAAGTGAGATTCACACACACACACACACAGCTGGACCACAAATATACAGAGACTTTCTTTACTGAATGTTATCATCTTTCTCCACTGATTGATGAGCCCTTCCTCCTCCTCCTCCTCCTCCTCCTCCTCCTCCTCCTCCTCCTCCTCCTCCTCCTCCTCCCTTTAGGCTGGGCACCAAGCTGATGCGGCTGGTGAAGGACCGCGGTCGTATGGAGCAGCTGGCGGTTGGCGGGGGCCAGCCGGTGTCCAGGGTGCGAGACGTGGAGATGGAGGAGATGATGGAGGAGCTCCAGGAGAAGGTGCGGGGCCTGCAGACGGAGAACGAGGGACTGAAACAGCGCCTCCTTGTGGCCAAGCAGCAGCTCATCAACTCACAGAGCAGGAGGCCGGCGGTGTACGGCCACGTGCAGTCCCGAGTCAACTCTGGGTTAAAGAAGCTGCGAGATGACGCCCCCTCTCCTCCTCAAACGCGACCCAAAAGTACGTCACAGACCTGACCTGGTTTAAAGGACGACAGTAATGTTATTAACACATTATTATTGTAGACCAATCTGTGGTTCCACATCACATTTAAACACCGATGTATGAAAGGATTGGAGTTGTGAGACAGAGATCCTGTTACATGTAGAAAATACGGTCATTAAAATACCTTTTTAAATGATCTTAAACCGGTTTTAAAGGTTCCACATGTCACATTCTGAATCATTTTATTTCCCTGTATTTGAAAGTGGATTCAGTTAGTTGGTTAGTTAGCTAGTTAGCTTCCCCAGCTAACGTGATCCATGATACTAACTTATGTATTGTGACAAACAGTGTAAATAAAGATTGAAACCAGCCGGTGGATTTGTCTGTAGAGTTCCTCCAAACTGCACGTGAAGCATAAAGTCCATAAATCCAGTATTTATTTAACTGTATTTTTTATAGCTCAGTTTGTCCTCCTGCTGTTTGTTTTTCCTGCAATAATCTGGTTGTAACCATCACGGACAGCGAGCGGGTAGAACAGTCATCGCCGTGGTTTGGTCTCCTGCAGGTACCAGGAGTTTGGAGGGAGGCGGGAGACCTCCGACCGGCCTCCTCCCTCGATTCGGACACAACCTGCTGGAGGAGGCGAGGGCCGAGATCCGCAACCTGTGAGTGATTCTTCTTCTTCCAAAGGTTCCTGTTGTTGTTTGTTGGTCAATAATCCATATTTCATCCATATTGGTTAATACTGTGTGATATATACAGCTACATAATGTTTTAACAACCTCTGACTCTATAACCATGTTATACTGGTTATAAACAGTCTGACACTGAAGCCTCTGTATGAGCTGCAGAAACAAACAGCAGAGAGCTCATTGTATATTTCTAGATTTCCCCTTGAAATCAATGAAACAAAGCAGTGGAAACAGCTTCTGTCCACAGGGGCCGCCAGAATCAACACACAGTGAGAGTTCCTGTTAATGCTATCTGTCTGTAGTGAGCTAACTATCTGCTGTTGTTGGTTCACCAGAGAGAACGTGATCGAGCTCCAGAGGAACCAGATGGAGGAGATGGACGGAGCCGCGGAGCTGCTGCAGGACGAACTGAGGAGGAAGGAGGCCGAATACGAGGAGAGACTCCTGCAGGCCCGACAGCAGCAGACTTCCAAACTGAGGTAGAGTGCTGCTGTATTACTATCAGTATTATTATGGTTGAACTGACCCTTTAAAAGCCTTAATGCAGCTTTAATGCAGCTCTCACTTCCTGTCGCTCCACACTGCTTCCAACCAGGAAGCACAATCAATCCAGATATTAGTCAAATATGGCCAATAAGCATCAATCAATCATACTGCATGTATGTAAACGACAAACAGCTCACATCAGGAGTTTAATCAGTTATTGCTATGAAAAGACACACACTCTCTCTCTCTCACACACACACACACACACACACACACACACACACACACACAGTAACAGGTGTGTCTCTCAGGTCACATGTCAGCAGCAACGTGACGATGATCAAACTGCAGAAGCAGCTGGCCGACAGGTCCAACGCCGTGACGGAGCTGGAGGGACGGTTTCTGCAGCTGCAGGAGGTGAGGAGCCTCTTCATCATCTTCATCATCATCTTTATCTTCATCAGACCAGAACTCAATCTGTGGGTTTTATCCATCATCAGCAGAGATCCACAATGTCTGATTGTAATGTGATATAATAATATTCATTTAAGGTCACAAACAGCACAAACGATTTAGAATAAATGATCCATTAACACTTGGTACAGATTATTATATTATAATATATATATATAACATACAGTTATGGAGTCTTTGCTCACTACTGTCGTCCATTTCAGCCGTAAAGAACAGAACATTAGTCGTTCACTGGCAGGTCGACAGGGCAGCTGTAGGTCAAGCTGATAGCAGAGCGCCCTCTGTTGGATCACAAGACAAACTTCAGACGGCCTGTTGAGTTTGTACATTTAAAATCAAACAGGTTATCACACTTTATAAATTAACCACGAACAAACAGTAACCCATCAATCAATAATCTCCCAACGGTTACCGATAACCGTCAGTCACCTGCTTCTTAAACAGAGCGGGAACCCAGTGAAAGCTGCTGTCAGAGGGGTTTTATATTCCCTCTGTAGCAGGATACCTTCCACATAGATCCAACAGTCAGTAGATACATTCACTGTTGGTTCGCACACACTGACCCACCAGAGGGTTTAACATGTGATTACAGAGTCAGAGGACGCTGAAGGCGAGTCACGACGCAGCGATGGCGAAGGTGGACGAGCTGTCGGCTCAGCTCAAAGACGAGAGGCTGAAGAGTTTGGACCTGGAGAAACAGCTGCAGAGCTCCAACATTGCCAGGATACAGATGGAGCAGGTGATATTACAGGAACTCCTGACTGCTAGCTGTGCTGAGAACAGCTCATCATAGACTCTGCTGCTGCTCAGTCAGTTGGTCAGGAGAAGCATTTTAGAGAGAGCTGATTATCATTAGTGTCAGCTCTCTGCAGTCAGTCTCAGTCAGTGGATCATATAAAGACTATTCCCTCCGTCTGTTCCAGCTGCAGGAGCGGATCAGTGAGGTGGAGCAGGAGAGAGACCTGCTGAAGGACAACAATGACAAACTGGTCAACAGGTACTTTATACTGTCAGTAGTTCAGGTTGCACCATCCTGATTATAATCTATTAGATAATATATATTTAATATATATTATATAATAATATTAACACTATATATGTGTCCAATCACAGTTGAGACTCAGTCAACTTTCTCCTTTCCTGTACTGAGATATGCTATGCTAGGCTAATCTATGTTGGAAACACAACCATATTGAGATGGTTCAGAGATAAAAGAAACATATATATAGTCACATCACATTGACCGAGGCTTGCTCAACTGTGATTGAATTGTGTGATTACACATTTGTATGTGTGTTTCCAGTGCGTTGGATGTGTCGTGGCAGCAGAAATGGCAGATCAAGGAGCAGCAGCTGAAGTTACAGATCGTCCAGCTGGAGACGGCGCTGAAGGCCGACCTCGTCGACAAAAATGAAATCCTGGATAAAATCAAGGCTGAGAGAGGTTCTGCTCCAACTTCATATTATAAATATCTATTATATTCTGTAGAGCTGCTGTCTGACGGACTGTAAATCATACTCATATTAAAGAGATAAATGTTGATGATTTAATTATTGTTTGTTTCCAGAAACAAGTGAGAAGCTCACAGAAGAAAATAAGAAACTTCAGATTCAGTTTCTGGAACAGAAACAGCAGCTGGACGAACTAAAGGACCGTCTGAAGTTCTACAGCAGGGTAAACAACCAGTGGGGGTATTAGTGCAGGGTCGGGGGCAGTAGTACAGGGACGGGGGGATGAGTACAGGGACGGGGGGTAAGTGCGGACGGGGAGTAAGGGACAGGGGGTGAGTACAGGACGGGGGTAGTGCAGGGACGGGGGAGTAGTGCAGGGACGGGGGGATGAGTACAGGGACGGGGTATTAGTGCAGGGACGGGGGCAGTAGTACAGGGACGGGGGTATTAGTGCAGGGACGGGGGGCAGTAGTACAGGGACGGGGGGGGATGAGTACAGGGACGGGGGGATTATTAGTGCAGGGACGGGGGGGGACGGGGGTACAGGGACGGGGGGGATATAGTGCAGGGACGGGGGCATCAGTGCAGGGTTCAGTCACATTGTAAATTGATGACATTATGGCGTGTGGTTGATATTAGTGTCTGACATCTTCAGACCTTCTTCAGGAAGTAATGGATTACATTGTGTAACAGATTACATTGTGTAATAGATTACATTGTGTAACAGATTACATTGTGTTGTTTGAAGGAGAACGAGTACGATGTGTCCGAGCTCACTGAGGCGCTGCTGCTCATTAAGGTAACAGGAAGATACATTTGAATGATTTATTATGTATTTTTTCTATAACCTGAAATATAAACATTGCCCTCCCCACAGACACGTAAATCCCAGAAGAATGGGGACCTGGGCTTCCTGAAGGAGGTGGAGGAGGGAGGGAGCAGCGGCACGGAAAGTGCCGTCCGGGAGCTGCGAGCCGCTCACGCCGAAACCATCCAGGAGCTGCAGAAGAGCAGAAACCTCCTCAGCATGGAGAGCCAGATCTGCAGAGACTACAAGGTGGAGTGCTCACCTGCAGTCGCTCTTTTATAAAGAGACCAGTTCAACAGGGTTCAGGTGGTAGTGGGTTGACTGGTGCAGCAGCAGGTTCAGGCTCAACTGTCCTAAAGAGTCTCTGGTTGTCTGCACCTTGTCCTCCGCTGTTGCACCAAACACCCTCAAGTCAAATCTCAAGTGTCTTATTGGTTGTAATGATCAGTCTGCTGAACACTGTATCAGCATCAGTCCTTTATCAGTGTATTCTATTAAAGCTGTAACAGTATGTGGTCAGCACCACCGTGGTCGAGCCAACAGTGGTTGCCTCTGATAGTGTCAGTGCTCAGTGGACTTATATTGGATCTCTTCTCTCACCACCGAGGCGGAGCTGGAAGCTGTGTTGAGGAAGATGGACGCTGACAGAGTCGAGCACAAGCAGAAGGTTGAACGTCAGGCTCAGCTGTTGGACGCGAGGGCGGCGAAGATCAGGAAGCTGGAAGGTATTTATTGACCCAGGCTCTGTTTGTACTTTTTACTGAACAGAACAGATAAACAGTGAGTGGTAACTCACCACTGTCCTCCTCCTCAGCTCAGCTCAGAGACATCGCCTACGGCACCAAAACCTACGTCTTCAAACCGGACGTCACAGACGAAGAGGCCGATGAGTTTGATGAAACTCTTCACCTGGAGCGTGGCGAGAACCTCCTGGAGCTTCAGATAGTCAGCACAGCGCTCTCTCCGTCCGCCCTGGAGGCGCTGGGTGACCACCAACCCTCCACCTTCTGCACCTACTCCTTCTACCTGTTCGAGATGCACTCCACTCCGGTGGCGACGGGCCAGAAACCCACTTACGGGTTCACGTCTAAGTACGTGGTCAGCATGGACGACCACTTCCTGGACTATCTGCACAGGTGCTCCGTCACAGTGGAGCTGCATCAGGCCCTGGGTCTGGACTGGAGGACTCTGGCCACCGCTCAGCTCCGGCTGCAGCAGCTGCTGGAGCAGGACGGGAAGGTTCATGGGACCATACCACTGGTTGGTGAGTGATTACTCCAAACTAACCATTCCTGTTGGCGGTGCTGGACGTACTCTCATTTAGTGTTGGTACTGGCGCCCCCTGTGGAGAAAGGTGGTAGTGTTTCTACCATCCTCTGGGCGGCATTAAGAATAACTGTATAAAAATGATGAACTAAGTTAGCGTAGCCTTAATCAACCAAACTCCATTCAGAAAACAAGCACTTTAAACAATGTCTCAGATAATAACCTCATATTACGTTATGAAAGTGTTATTAAGTTGCAAACAACTCTCTGAAAGTGATCCCAACAATATTGTTCACCACTGTCGTTGTCGTTATAGTTGTGGCAGACTCCGCCATCCACTTGAACATTTTTAAAGAGATACAGTCTATATAGATATAAGTAAGATAAGTCGTTGCTCTTCCTCCACCAACCTGCTGAACCACTGAGAGGTTACGTAACGCCATACAAACTCAGTGTATTATATAAGACTGTGGGGATGATATAATAACTGAGATGTGTTCCTCAGGTTTGTCTGACGAGGTGTGGTCCTTCGGCTCTGTGGATTACTGGTTGAGGCTGAGGATCCCGATGACAGAGACCATCCGTCTGTATAAAGAGAAGGTGAAGGCTGCAGGCTACGTCCACACTGCGCTGAACGAAGACGCACAGGTACCTGCACAGGAAACTTTATTACAGCAAGCGTTTTATTTCTGTAGTTCAGAATCAGCATCAGTAAGGCCCCTTTCCTAAAGAGGTTAAATAACAAGATTTGTAAAAGGAGTCTGGCATTGTGCTGTGTAACATCCACTGAGGCTACTGCACATTTCAGTATTGTAAATAGTGTTTAATGGTTTGTTTATCATAACTAATAATAATTACTGCGTTCTACAGGACTCGTTAATCTGTAATTATAAATAATAAACAGTCACTACCCTCTCCTCTCCATGAACCTTTCACCTCTGTCCACCCATCAGCTGCATCCTCCCGGCAGCAGCAGCAGCGGTTGGAACGAGATCCACATCACAGTCCATCGCTGCAGAGACCTGCAGTCCAGAAGCTCCCAGCAGCCGAGCCCCTACGTGGTCTACAAGTTCTCCGACTTCCCCGACTACCCGACCACCACCGCCCACGACTGCTGCGACCCCGACTTCAACGACCTCAAGTCCTACTCCGTCCAAATGGACGCAGGTCTGGACCAGTACTTGAAGACCGAGGTCCTGCAATTCTATGTGTTCGACTACAAAGAGGAGCAGATGGATGTGTACCTGGGGAAGGCCAGGGTGCCCCTGCTGTCCCTGGCCCAGGACAAAGGGATCACTGGTGAGGGTTTACTCTGCCAGCTCAATGCTGAAGATCATCTGTTTGGTTTAGAGCTGCAACCATTAATTGATTATTTTGATCATTCGTGATCTATCTTCATTTTTCAAGAAAGCAATGTGATTACTTTAAAGGAAATAAATACAACACAATTTTAGCTGGATAACAGGCAGGAGCATCCACCTAGCTAACTGTCGCTAAGCTAATGGGGTTGTCCGGCTGGCTGTGTCTTGGCTGCGCGGTGTGGGTCTGGCATTGGTTGATCTGTAAACAGAGAGCTATTTAGTAGCATGGAGCTAATGGTCCAGACTCTCTCATTATGTGTGAATCTTTAGTGTAAGGAGTCAGACTGTTTCTCTCGTCTCCTTCAGATGTGTTCGAGCTGACCGATCCCTCTGGACTCCCCGCCGGACACATCGAAGTGACTCTGAAGTGGAAGTTCATGTACCTCCCCCTTTCAGGCTCCATCATGACCGTCAAAGAGCCCAAGTTCATCCCGAAAGAGACGGCAAGCAAGCTGAAGCAGGAACAGCAGAGCGAGGAGGATGAGGAGAGAGACGAGGGCGTCGAAGAGGCGCTGCAGGAAGTGAATCGTGTCTCCACCTCTCTGCCCGAGGTCTCTGCCGCCAAGGTCAGGAGATAAATAACGGTGTGCTGTCAGACTACCTGTAAAGGTGGATTCCTGTGAGCTTTAATCTGAGTGTCTTCTCACCATCAGGCTCCGCTGCCAAAGCTCAGACACAAGACACAAGTGAAGGATGGACCGGCGGTCAAAAAAGTCACATTTGTAGATCCGACAGCTGCAGACAGAAAGGTAAGAGATCAGCGACTGTGAGCCTGAATGTCCGTTTATATGTGCTTCATACGTGAAAGAGAGACACACAGGGCGGTATCATCCACATCACCATCAGGGAATCCAGATGGCACTTCCTCTAGGAAGTCACAGAAAGGAATGTAAATTCAACCAATCTCTGTAAATCCTGTGTAACCCTGTAGTTAGTGAACACCTCACCTCACCCTCCAAACAGTGCGACTTTATTCTCACTGGATCACGTTACAGACTGATGAATAACAAATAATGATGTGTTATTATGTGTTAAAATGTGTTAATATGTGTTATTATGTGTTAAAATGTGTTAATATGTGTTAATATGTGTTATTATGTGTTAATATGTGTAATATGTGTTAATATGTGTAATATGTGTTAATATGTGTTAAAATGTGTTATTATGTGTTATTATGTGTTATTATGTGTTATTATGTGTTAATATGTGTTAATATGTGTTAATATGTGTTATTATGTGTTAATATGTGTTAATATGTGTTAATATGTGTTTTGTGTTAATATGTGTTAATGTGTTATGTGTTAATATGTGTTAATATGTGTTATGTGTTAATATGTGTTATTATGTGTTATTATGTGTTAATATGTGTTAATATGTGTTATTATGTGTTAATATGTGTTATTATGTGTTAATATGTGTTATTATGTGTTAAAATGTGTTAATATGTGTTATTATGTGTTAATATGTGTTAATATGTGTTATTATGTGTTAATATGTGTTAATATGTGTTAATATGTGTTATGTGTTAATATGTGTTATTATGTGTTAATATGTGTTAATATGTGTTAATATGTGTTATTATGTGTTATTATGTGTTGATATGTGTTAATATGTGTTAAGCAGGTGTCTCTGTCGTAGATTTCATTACTGTGAAACCTGCAGGAAGCAACAGTGGAAATATAATTGATTTTATTATAAAGCAGAAATGAGTCTGATGTTCCTGTTTGTCTGTGCTGTCAGGCTGAAGACAGCAGCTCAGCAGCAGTCAGCGTGTCTGCAGAAGACAGACAGACGTCATCACCTGCTGTAAAGGTAATAATCAATAATACAATTATATTATTATATTATACAAATCTGTAATCAATGGCCCTGTGATCAATGGCCCTGTGATCAGTGGCTCTGTGATCAATGGCTCTGTGATCAGTGGCTCTGTGATCAATGGCCGGATCAATGGCTCGGATCAATGGCTCTGATCAGTGGCTCTGTGATCAGTGGCTCTGTGATCAATGGCCCTGTGATCAGTGGCTCTGTGATCAATGGCCCTGTGATCAGTGGCTCTGTGATCAATGGCCCTGTGATCAATGGCCCTGTGATCAGTGGCTCTGTGAAGCTGTTTTGTGTTTGCAGGCTGCGTCAGAAGCTGCGGAGGAAGAGGAGGAAGAGGAAGAGTCTCATGTCTCTGAAGGACAGCTGGTCCCGGTCAGCTCTCAGTCTTACTCCAGCGACTCTGAGATCTCAGAGGACATCGTCCAAGGTGAGGACGTATTGATTATCAGAAGCATGTGTTATTATTCCCTCTGAGAGGACTGGCAGGCAACAGTAAAGAGGTTGTTTTACACTGACTATCTGATAGAGTAACAACAGTGAAGCTCTCTTTATAACAGGTTCACTGTGTTTGTGTCTGTGTGTGGGAGCAGTGAGAGAGCATACACAGTAAACATTAACCCAGTGAACAGTAACACAACAATATCTGCCCTGCGCTCCGTCTTACAGGTGTTTGTGTTTCCTTCCTGAGCTGACATCAATATTGAATGTGGCTTCATAAATGTTAACGAGAAACAGCCAACATCTCACTCTGCCTCAAACATTTTACTTCCTGCTGCTGTCTTTGTCTCCTCCCCGTACGCCTTCCTCCAGACGGTGAGGAGGCCCTGCCGGCACCCAGAGAGGATCAGAGCGAATCGACTCAGTCTGACAGCGATGACTGCATTGTTCACAGCGGGGCCACGGGGAGGAAGGTCGGTGAACGCCTCTGTTTACCTTCCACACACCTGAGAGGACGCAGAGCAAGCAGCTCATTCAGGAAGCTGTTTGTGTTTGTTTCAGTTCGATTTGTTCGTTTGTGTACAAACAGGAAGTCAGCGAGTCTGAGCCAGACTGAAGGAGTAGCAACTTCAGACAGAGAGACATTCACATTAACAATCCTTTTGTGTCTCTATAATAATCAGATTATTGACGGGTTGTAGTGGAGCTTTGTCCCTCTGCTGTCTGTGGACTGATCTCTATGTGTCTCTATGTAGGATGAGGGTCAAAGGTTGTGACCTTTATGCTCCCAAGTGTCAACAGTGGGCAACACAGAGTCCAACACAGAGTCCACTACACAGAGTCCAACACAGAGTCCACAACACAGAGTCCACAACACAGAGTCCACAACACAGAGTCCAACAACCACAGAGTCCACAACACAGAGTCCAACACAGAGTCCACAACACAGAGTCCAACACAGAGTCCAACACAGAGTCCAACACAGAGTCCACAACACAGAGTCCACAACACAGAGTCCACAACACAGAGTCCACAACACAGAGTCCAACACAGAGTCCAACACAGAGTCCACAACACAGAGTCCAACACAGAGTCCAACACAGAGTCACATCCACAACACAGAGTCCACAATCACAGAGTCCACAACACAGAGTCCACAAACAACAAGAGTCCAACACAGAGTCCACAACACAGAGTCCAACACAGAGTCCAAACAGACACAGAGTCCACAACACAGTCCAACACAGAGTCCAACACAGAGTCCAACACAGAGTCCACAACACAGAGTCCAACACAGAGTCCAACACAGAGTCCACAACACAGAGTCCACAACACAGAGTCCAAACACAGAGTCCACAACACAGAGTCCACAACACAGAGTCCACAACACAGAGTCCAACACAGAGTCCAAAGTCAAAGCTAACATTAATGCTAAGCTAGTGGAACATATTGTCTGATTGAGCTGTTAGCTGGATAACGTTAGCTTCATCCAGACTCCAGGGGCCGATGTATTGTATGTAAAAATAATACCTGAGTAGATATGCTAGCTGGCTAACACGAGCTAACTAATCTACATTAAAGGAACGTGACTAATATTTATGATATTTTGGTCTCAACAGTAATTAAAGAGACTTGTGATTAAATGCATTAATTCTACATATTAATTATAATATATATTAATCAGTGAGGAGCTGTAATGTGAATCAGACGTCGTTAGCGCTGTCATTAACAGATTAATTCCTGTGTGTCGGCCCTCAGTCCTCGGAGCGGGTCCGGGTGGAGATCATGTCTCTGAGCTTGAGGCCGGAGTCTCGGGTGTCCCGGGACGGCAGCGTGGTCCGTCTGTTTGTGGAGTACTCGCTCCTGGATCTGCCCACAGAGGAGACCCCCCTGTCTCTACCCAAACCCCCCCAGGGCAAAAGCATCAACTTCAACTACAGCAAAGGTCCTGCTGAGTATGACATCATACAGTGTTTATTAATATACATATATAGTATATATATATATATATATATACTATATCTACATCTCTGTAAGTCTATAAAGGCATCCTCCAGTGGTTCTGACTGTCTGTGGTTCTGACTGTGGTTCTGTCTGTCTGTGGTTCTGACTGTCTGTGGTTCTGTCTGTCTGTCTGTCTGTGGTTCGGACGGTGGTTCTGTCTGTCTGTGGTTCTGACTGTGGTTCTGTCTGTCTGTGGTTATGACTGTCAGTGGTTCTGTCTGTGGTTCTGACTGTCTGTGGTTCTGTCTGTCTGTGGTTCTGACTGTGGTTATGACTGACTGTGGTTCTGTCTGTCTGTGGTTCTGACTGTCTGTGGTTCTGTCTGTCTGTCTGTGGTTCTGTCTGTCTGTCTGTGGTTCTGACTGTGGTTGTGTCTGTTGTTCTGACTGTCTGTGGTTCTGACCTCTGTGGTTGTGTCTGTTGTTCTGTCTGTCTGTGGTTCTGACTGTCTGTGGTTCTGTCTGTCTGTCTGTCTGTGGTTCTGACTATCTGTGGTTCTGTCTGTCTGTCTGTGGTTCTGACTGTGGTTGTGTCTGTTGTTCTGTCTGACTGTGGTTGTGTCTGTTGTTCTGTCTGACTGTGGTTGTGTCTGTTGTTCTGTCTGTCTGTGGTTCTGACCTCTGTGGTTCTGACTGTGGTTCTGTCTGTCTGTGGTTCTGTCTGTGGTTCTGACCTTGCAGTGGTTCCTGTGGATGCTGAGAACAACGGGTCGAGGCGGCGGCTGCTGAGAGGAGTCCTGCAGGGACGAAACCCTCAGATGGAGCGGTGAGGAAACATTTCCTCTTTTTACAGTGAAACTGGACCCTGACCCTGATCCTGATCCTGATCCTGATCCGTGAAATAAGACTGTGAACTCTGAATGAATCTGGCTGCATGTTAAACAGCTCAGAGCAACTCGCACTGACAGGAAGTCAGATTCTGGATTTTAGGCTTCATCAGAAAAGAATAACATAACAATAAAAAAGATACAAAGAGGAAATATTTAACTAAATATTCTCTGACTCATCAGATTCACTGATATCAAAGAAAAGGGACAAAATACAGTCAACAGGAAACTGTGCTCGGTGGAATTTCAGCTTAAAAGTTGTTTGGGCAAAAAGGTGGATTGTAAAAATAAAGTATATAAAAAGAGAAGCTGATGACGGATCATAAAGTCTGTAGAGTCGGTGTCCCTGCACCAAACTCCCTTTAAGAAATATCACATTTTAACAATTCCTAACGTGTTCGTAACAACACGTAACTCTAGAAACACGAGCTAAAGGCCGTCATATGTCCACAGTCTGACTGTCAATACAGGATCAATATCATCCATAAAGATACAGTGTATACTGATCAATAACATCCATAAAGATACAGTGTATACTGATCAATATCATCCATAAAGATACAGTGTCTACTGATCAATATCATCCACAAAGATACAGTGTCTACTGATCAATATCATCCATAAAGATACAGTGTATACTGATCAATATCATCCATAATGATACAGTGTATACTGATCAATATCATCCATAAAGATACAGTGTATACTGATCAATATCATCCATAAAGGTACAGTGTATACTGATCAGTATCATGGGTTGTTATTGTTGTTGTTGTTGTTGACAGGATCCGGTTCACGGTGGTCAGTGAGCCTCCAGAGGAAGAGGAGCAGGAGAGAGAGTGTGAGGATGTGGGAGTGGCCTTCCTGAGGATCCCTGAGATACTGGAGAGACACCGAGACCTGATAGAGACCAACCTGACCGGTACACACACACACAGTAACACACAGTAACACACAGTAACAAACACACACACACACACACACACACACACACACACACACACACACAGTAACACACAGTAACACACACACACAGTAACACACAGTAACAAATACACACACACACACACACACACGTAACAAATCACACACACACACACAGTAACACACACACACACACACACACACACACACACAGTAACAAACACACACACAGTAACACACACACACACACACACACACACACACAGTAACACACAGTAACAAACACACACAGCACACACTACAAAAACACACACATACAGTAACAAACACACACACACACACACACACACACACACACAGTAACAAACACACACACACACAGTAACACACAGTAACAAAAAAACACACACACACACACAGTAACAAACACACACACAGTAACACACACACACACAGTAACAAACACGCACACACACACACACACACACACACACTCACTCTCAGTGTGTCTGTAGTTGTGTCTGTAGAGAACAGCAGTAGAAGAAAAAGTTTTGGTTTTTTTCTTATGGTGGTTTTTTAGCTTGTCCTTTCAGGGTAGGGTTAAAAAAAGGTGGGCGGGCCCAAACCCATTTCCCCCCAACGGGGTTGAAGTCCGGTTTTGTTGGGGGCGGCCGGGGGGGGGGGGGGGTATACTGGGCGCTTAACACACACACTCACTCTCAGTGTGTCTGTAGTTGTGTCTGTAGAGAACAGCAGTGAGGTGGTCGGCAGTCTGACGGTGTCTGTTGAAGGACTGGAGGCTCTGCAGGACATCCTGGAGGACCAGGACCAGGACCAGGACCAGGAGCGAACCCCCGTCTCCTCTCTGCTACCATTAGCATGAGGCAGAAACCGGCTCCGGTACCAGCTCCGGTACCAGCTCCGGTACCAGCTCCTACACATGGATGCCTTCGGGACGGACTCCGTTCTTTAATACTTCACTTGGTGCTGTTTAGTTTTTATATTAAAGACTTTTATTTTGAAATTGTGATTTTGCACTTTTTATATTTACGCTGATAAAATATTTCTGATTGTTCAGGTAACGTCACCAAAATAAATTCAGGTTAAAAACTGTGAAGTTTGGTTGAAAAGTTATTTCATGTTTGTGAGCAAATACCAATGACTTTCCCATCAGCCTCAGCTGCACTGATAATTAGCTTAGCATGCTAACACGCTACACTAAGATGGTGAACATTTGTTATGTTTGTAAGTATGTTAGCATTGTCACCGGAGCTGCAACGATTAAATAGCGGCCGTTCATTAAACTGTAGCTAACAGCGCCACCAGTGGTCGTTCATTAAACTGTAGCTAACAGCGCCACCAGTGGTCGTTCATTAAACTGTAGCTAATTAATTAATTAACATTATTAAAGTTATTTTTAAGTAAAAATGTCCAAATTTCTTTGGTCCTCTGACAGTAAACAGTAAAGCAGGACTCTGATCTGTTAGCTGCATCAACAGTTTGAAATAATAGTATTATATATTATTATTCAATTCAATTCAATTTTATTTGTATATCCTGGTTCCACAGAGAGGAGCTTGGTAACTGTTATAATTATACATTATAGTATTACAGTATTATAGTATTATATATTATTATACATTATAGTATTATAGTATTATAGGATTATATATTATATTATTATATATTATACATTATAGTATTACAGTATTATAGGATTATAGGATTATATATTATATTATTATATATTATTATACATTATAGTATTACAGTATTATAGTATTATAGGATTATATATTATATTATTATATATTATACATTATAGTATTACAGTATTATAGGATTATAGGATTATATATTATATTATTATATATTATTATACATTATAGTATTACAGTATTATAGTATTATAGGATTATATATTATATTATTATATATTATTATACATTATAGTATTACAGTATTATAGGATTATAGGATTATATATTATATTATTATATATTATTATACATTATAGTATTACAGTATTATAGGATTATATATTATATTATTATATATTATTATACATTATAGTATTACAGTATTATAGTATTATATATTATATTATTATATATTATTATACATTATAGTATTACAGTATTATAGTATTATAGGATTATATATTATATTATTATATATTATTATACATTATAGTATTACAGTATTATAGTATTATATATTATATTATTATATATTATTATACATTATAGTATTACAGTATTATAGTATTATATATTATATTATTATATATTATTATACATTATAGTATTACAGTATTATAGTATTATATATTATATATTATATTATTATATATTATTATACATTATAGTATTACAGTATTATATATTATATATTATATTATTATATATTATTATACATTATAGTATTACAGTATTATAGGATTATAGTATTATATATTATATATTATATTATTATATATTATTATACATTATAGTATTATAGTATTATATATTATATATTATATATTATTATACATTATAGTATTACAGTATTATATATTATATTATATATTATTATACATTATAGTATTACAGTATTATAGTATTATATATTATATATTATATATTATTATACATTATAGTATTACAGTATTATATATTATATTATATATTATTATACATTATAGTATTACAGTATTATATATTATATTATATATTATTATACATTATAGTATTACAGTATTATAGTATTATATATTATATGTAATATTATTATATATTATTATACATTATAGTATTATAGTATTATATATTATATATTATATTATTATATATTATTATACATTATAGTATTACAGTATTATAGGATTATAGTATTATATATTATATATTATATTATTATATATTATTATACATTATAGTATTATAGTATTATATATTATATATTATATATTATTATACATTATAGTATTACAGTATTATATATTATATTATATATTATTATACATTATAGTATTACAGTATTATAGTATTATATATTATATGTAATATTATTATATATTATTATACATTATAGTATTACAGTATTATATATTATATATTATATATTATATATTATTATACATTATAGTATTACAGTATTATATATTATATTATATATTATTATACATTATAGTATTACAGTATTATAGTATTATATATTATATGTAATATTATTATATATTATTATACCTTATAGTATTACAGTATTACAGTATTATATATTATATGTAATATTTACTGTGTGTAGATGAGCTGTCAGTGTTTTTGTGCAGCAGCTGCTGTAATGATGTGAAATAATATAGACAGTTGATTCTGTTATTTCAGGTGCGTTCAGAGACTCGTTAGTGAGTTCATGTAATATTTACTGAGTCTCCGGCAGCACTGAGCTTTAATCTGAACCCCAGAATAACGTCTGTTTACACACAGCGCGCCTTAAAGTACACGATTCCTTTATGGAGCTCCAATAAAAACAGTTTCTGTATTTGTGGGGAAGAAATCTATTTTACAGTGTTGAACTTTATCAACAATGAAGCTGCTGAAAGTTTGAGTTTCATCGTTATTAAAAACCAGACGGAATTTGTTCCTTGTTATTTACAGAAACACAGGCTAACACAGGCTAATACAAGCTAACACAGGCTAATACAGGCTAATACAGGCTAATACAAGCTAACACAGGCTAATACAGGCTAACACAGGCTAATACAGGCTAACACAGGCTAATACAAGCTAACACAGGCTAATACAAGCTAACACAGGCTAATACAGGCTAACACAGGCTAATACAAGCTAACACAGGCTAACACAAGCTAATACAAGCTAACACAGGCTAATACAAGCTAACACAGGCTAATACAAGCTAACACAAGCTAATACAGGCTAACACAGGCTAATACAAGCTAACACAGGCTAATACAGGCTAACACAGGCTAATACAGGCTAATACAAGCTAACACAGGCTAATACAAGCTAACACAGGCTAACACAGGCTAACACTAGCTAATACAGGCTAACACTAGCTAATACAAGCTAACACAGGCTAATACAAGCTAATACTAGCTAACACTAGCCAATACTAGCTAATACCAGCTAATAGCAGCTTCACGGTCACTGATGTCTGAATCTCGCCGACAGAAACAAACTCTCTGTACGGTAAATATGAAGCTACATTGTTAGCCTAGCTTAGAACTTAATGATGAAACTAACAACATAAGGAACTAACTAACAACTACTGCACTGAATCAACTCAATGATTATTTAAAATAATAATAGAAAGGTAGAATTTAGAGAATGAAATAAAATCATAAATAATTCAGATATTATTGAGATGGTTATTAGCAGATGATGGAATCAATACAATCTTTAATGTCCGTTATTATATATAAATATATATATATATATATATATATATATATTCTACACATGTACCATCAGTACAGTGAACACTTGCTTCACATTTGTGTCTGTGTGGCTGCAGAGTCTCCGTCTGTCCACAGAGACTCTCAGCAGGCAGCAGTCTGTCAGCTCCAGCTAACACCGACTCAACCTCCTCATCAGGAGGAGGAGGTGACAAAGAGGAGCGAACCGATCACAGAGACAGCAAACAGCCCGAAAAGAGTCTGAACCCAGAGAGAGGCAGCTTCACTGCAGCAGGTAAACTAATATTTACTGTATTTACTGTAATATTCCAACAGGTAAACTAATATTTACTGTATTTACTGTAATATTCCAACAGGTAAACTAATATTTACTGTATTTACTGTAATATTCCAACAGGTAAACTAATATTTACTGTATTTACTGTAATATTCCAACAGGTAAACTAATATTTACTGTATTTACTGTAATATTCCAACAGGTAAACTAATATTTACTGTATTTACTGTAATATTCCAACAGGTAAACTAATATTTACTGTATTTACTGTAATATTCCAACAGGTAAACTAATATTTACTGTAATATTCTAACAGGTAAACTAATATTTACTGTATTTACTGTAATATTCCAACAGGTAAACTAATATTTACTGTATTTACTGTAATATTCTAACAGGTAAACTAATATTTACTGTATTTACTGTAATATTCCAACAGGTAAACTAATATTTACTGTATTTCCTGTAATATTGGAGCAGTGAATGTTTTGCTGATGGTTCATTAGAAGATATGAACACTAATAACAGACTCTGAATGGAAGATAAAACAATGTTAGCAGCAAACATTCAGACCTTGTTTCATAAATGAAATATAAAAACAGTAAGCTGGTTGTGCAGTGGTCAGAGCACCCTCAGAGTTCTGTAGTGTCACTTCTGAGGCAGATCAATCACTGTGATCAGGAACCTTCACAGACACTCAGCAGCTCTGATCCTGGACGTTACCAAGGTCCAGGATCAGCAGGAGTCCACAATAAGACCGCAGAGCGCTGTCAGCCAGCAGAACTGTGGAGGTCCAGATGAGATCTAAAGAGAACTGTTTGTATGCTGCTCAGAAAGACCAGAACCTCCATCTGAACCTGCAGGAAGATCCACAGTCCACATCCTATAATCCAGCACCAGAACATCAGAACATCTACAGAACCCTGTGGACTGATGGAGTTACAATAACCCCCCAACTGTTAAACATGGGGGGGTCCATCATGCTTTGGGGTTGTGTTGCAGTGGAACAGGAAACACTCAGAGTCTGAAAGCTTCAGGATGAAGATCTGGTCCTCGCTGTCGTCTGTGGTTGGTCTCAAACCGGCGGTTACAGTCTTCAGTCATATCTCACAGCCAAACCTTTATTTATACCACAGTTTAAATACGGTTGTTTCTTATATTATGGACTGTAAATTCAAACTACCATCAGAATAAATGATCTTTATACAGAACATACAGTGTTTGAATGAACCAAAACTGTTTCTTTTTATGGTAAAAACTTTAAACAGTGAAAAATGAACTAAAACTCAACATTTTACTGTATTTATTAAAGTTAAACCCATTTAAATATTTTATATATTTATAGAATTGTTAAGTGTTTTTGGACCAAATGAGACATTTAATGACATAAATGATTATATGGAGATCTGATGCTTCAGTCTGA